GCACCCCAAGTGATTCTAATATGTAGTCATGGTTAAAAACCACTAGGCAGTTAGGAATAGACTTTCTTTCTCCCCTTAGTAATCCACTTACTGAAAGTCACTGCTCTAGATGGCTAATCTTGTTCACCGCATTAAAAATGTTTATTGTTTCTGGATATACAGTAACACCTTCACACTGCAGAATAATTGCCCTTTATAAAAGGGTACAAAGAAGGAGATATATTCCACAATTTTGAAATAACCAGCATTTACCACTTACTTAAAAGTACTAAAAGGAATATATGCTGCTTATAAAATTTCAAATTAAAAAGCCAGAATTTCCCACCAGTTCCCTGTGTTCCATCTCCAGAGGAATAGAAGCCTAAGGTCTTCGTTTCTTTGCTATTTCCCTTACGTTATTTTGAAAAGGGGGGGAAAAAAAGCCCATTGCCATCGAGTCAGTTCCGACTCATAGTGACCTTGTAGGACAGAGTAGAATTGCCCCTTTGGGTTTCCAAGGAGCAGCTGGTGGATTCAAACTGCCGAGCTTTTGGTTAGCAGCCGAACTGAACCACCGTGCCACCAGGGCTCCCATGAAACTGATCAAAGTTATAGGAGGGAAGATCTAAAGCAAGTTTAATTGGTTTGCCATCAGAGCAGAAGCCAGGGCAGGGTCATGGGCTGGCTAACCAGGGACTAGTGTGGGCCCTGTTGGCTAAGTTATTTAATTCAGTCATATCTGTCTTTCACTTCCTCCTTCCCTTCCTTCCTCCTTTTTCCATTTCTTCCTTATTAATACTGTCCGTTTTGAACAAACAAGATATTAGTTCAGATTAAAAGAGGGTTTGTTTAGAACAAAAGAAAGAAACCTCCCTATACCCTTTGCATTTACCTACAAATGGGCTGACCCGCTGAAGATACTTAAGATGGTTGATTTAGATTTGAAATATTTATTACGGCACAAGTGTATATCTTCAGTGCACACTTACAAATATAGGAATCTATTAGCTCTTACTAGACCGTTTCTCTGTGTTTGAAGAACATTTCTTCACCTGGGTCTGGGTTACATTGCTCACAGGATGATGCTGTTCTTGTTCCTCTTAAGTGAGGTGCGTAGGACTGACTTGAATAGAAGGGAAGCTTCTCATCTGCTCAAGTCTTGACAGCTGAGCCCCTTTAAAACTCAGACTCTGTAACTTTTCTCTGAATTCTGTCTACTTCACTGACTTTAATTGAGCCCTAGTGGCACAGTGGTTAAGAGCTTGGCTGCTAACCAAAAGGTGGACAGTTCGAATCCACCAGCCACTCCTTGGAAACTCCATGGGCATTTCTACTCTGTCCTAAAGGGTCACTATGAGTCATTCGACTCTGTGGCAACGGGTTTTTTCACTTCTTATCTTGCAAAGGCCTCACTTGCAGTTCCTTGCATGACTTTTGCCATTGAAGACACTATGTGAGAGAGGAATTTTTACCAGGCAGGTTTGGGTAGGTAACTTAAAGGCGCGGATTATCTGCATCGCCATCTTTATGACAGGGAGAAATATTTGAAGTGCACCCTACACTGAAATCGTAATTATGACGTGGAGGAAATACTGCCAGTGTTAGATACTGAAGAAAAATTTATTTATCTTAAGTTTTGCAGCTTTCCAGAAAACCTCAGTTGCTTCATACATTGAGTTTTTTCTAGGAATGAAACCAAGAGGAATAAAAGAAGCCCTCTCTACTCCATCGCGAGTGACCCACAGGGATCAGGAGTGGTATGATGCTGAAATTGCCAGAAAACTGCAAGAAGAAGAACTTTTGGTGAGCACATTTTAAGACAAAAGTTCAAGTGAATCAGTAGGTTTTTTAATGAATTGAATCAACCTCGAGATTATAGGCAGTATGGGTCCCGATTAGTTGAGAAACTAATAGTGTTTTTTTTTCTTCCCTGTTCATTTTTTTTTTTTATTTTGTTGTTGAGAATATACACAGCAAAACATACAGCAATTCAGCAGTTCCTACGTGTACAGTGTAGTGACGCTGATTACAGTCTTCGAGTTGTGCAACCATTCTCACCCTCCTTTTCTGAGTTGTTCCTCCCTCATTAACATAAACTACTGCCTCCTAAGGTTCTCATCTAGTCATTTGAGTACCTGTTCTCTATTTGATCCCATGTAGATAGTTCTTGAAAAAGCATAATACTGAAGGCAGACCATTTTTGCTAGTTAAGCTAAACTATTATTTGGTTTTAAGAAGACTTTAGGGGATATTTTTGGTTTAAGGTTTAAAGATTATCTCCAGGCAGTAGTTTCAGGGGTTCATCCAGCCTCTATGGCTCCAGAAACTCTGGAGTCCATGAGAATTTGAAATTCTTTTCTGCATTTTTCCCCTTTTTAGTGAGGATTCTTTTATGGAATCTTTGATCAAAATGTTCAGTAATGGTAGCCGGACATCAACCATCCAGTTCTTCTGGTTTGATGGTAAAATGGGTGGAAAAATCAAGACAAAGGGAATAGAATGAGTGTCCAGTTTTACTTACTGAAGAAGCATTAGCAACAAAACCATACATTTCTGTCCACTATTTATCCCAATACTCCAAGTACCTGCAGTAGAGTTCGGTAAAAACGGACCCCGCTGTAGCTGATGAAAGCACATCAGATTCAGGGTTGAGAGCTATAGCTGCTAACCAAAAGGCCAGCAGTTCAAATCCACCAGCTGCTCCTTGGAAGCCCTAAGGGGCAGTTCTCCTCTGTCCTGTAGGGTTGCTGTGAGTTGGAATCAGCTTGATAGCAGCAAGTTTGGGTTTGGTTTTTTGGAATCACAGCTAGTTTCGGGTACCAGGTTACTTTATGTAGGACTTTGTTGTTGTTATAATGGGCAGTCTAGCTTCCACTTAAATTTCTCTTGGTTGTCTTTTCTATGCCACAGGCTACCCAGGTGGACATGAGAGCAGCTCAGGTGGCCCAGGATGGGGTGAGTTCATGGTTGCTCACCTGTTTGTGTAACCAGCATTCTCGGGAAACATCTCAGCCATTTTCTCCCCGCAACTCTGCGATTAACGATATCGACTGGATGTTGTTTAGGAAATTGCTCGACTGCTAATGGCTGAGGAGAAGAAGGCGTACAAGAAAGCCAGGGAACGGGAGAAATCGTCTTTGGACAAAAGGAAGCATGACACCGAGTGGAAGGTAGGGGCTGTGTGTGCTTGTTTTTTCCTTTTACTTAGAAATAAAATTAGGAATGAAAAGGAGACTCTGCTTTTAGGGTAGGCTCTGCAACTGCAGATATAGGTAGTGTGTAAAAATAGCTGTAACGCATATGTGAAGCCTGACTTGTAAAAACTGTTTCACTATGAAAAATAATACTAAATTCTTATACCTATAAAAAAAATTACCGCTAAAATCAAAAAAGTCATTCCATTAATTTTAAGACCAACTGAGATACACGTGCCTCTGGCTGTGAGCTACTTCAGTTTGACTATACTTACAGTGCAGGAAAGTGTAGTATTTCCACATGGCTTCAGATTTCCAGTGGCCTTGTCTCCCTCTCTGTACGTTCCCTAGGTGCTTACGTTGTAAAGTACCACCTGTTTATTTTTCCTCTGACATAACTTGACTCAGTGGTAGACGGACAGGCATGCTTCTCACCAACCATCATGGCTTACGTCAGAGTGCAAGAACCGTCTAGCATGAGCTTTGACTACTGTCTTTCCCCTCGTTAATCAGAAATAGTTGACAGAACAGGCAGTGACTGCAATTCATTCTGCTGTGATCTGATTTTTGTATGCGGCGGTTGCAAGTTCCATTTAACAGACTTAACAGTTACTGTGTGCATGGCACCGCTGTGGACTCAGAGAAAGACGAAGGTATCTTCTCCTGATAATAGCGTATAACACAGAGAGGAAGACAAGCTGTCTTCGAGCTCAGACAGCTAACAAATACAGGGTCACAGTGGGTGGAGCATTGTGGAGGAAGAGCAGAGGAGGAGGAGGAGGGAGAGAAGTCCTCTACAGTAAAGCCTTTTTAGGGAAAAAGTTTGCACTAGGCACAGAAGGATGCAGCGAGGCGTGTGTTCATGATACAGTGGATGTTTAGAGCTGTTCTCTCCCTTGGACTCATTCTTCCCTTGGGTTTCTGGTTTCCTGTCATGGTCTGCAGTGGTTGTGAGGAAAAAGAAGACACACGAACTACGATAATAGTATTTCTCTACTGTTCCCTGTTGCTTACTTCCACGCTTGTCAGTCTCCAAGCAAATTAAAGTATTATTTCTATGTTAATTATGTGTATAAAAGCTACCTTGCTTTTACTCTCTTAGAAATTCAGGATTTTTCCTGACAAACATATTTAATTTTAGTAGAGGGGTTCTCAGATGCTCCTGCTACATAAATTAATTGCCCAGGAGTTATTCATATTTTTCGTGGATTCAACTAGAAAAGGTTAGGCATTATAAAGATGACAAATCAGGAAGGTAAGAGTGGTAAGGCCGCGTTTCTGGCAGATAGCAGGACTTCTGCGATTTCCAGATTCTAGAACTGGTATAGCTACGCTTCCTCTCCTGGAACAGTTGACTTGTGCCTTAGTTTCCTGGCTTGAGAATCATCACCCCTAAGTCAGGTGTTGAGAAGTGCATTTGAGAGCACACACCTAAACTTCATAGTTTCTGGGAATCGAGCAATTCTTGTCAGCTACGTGCAGCTGTACTGTTAATAATGGATAGCCACGCACACCCGTGTGGGTGGGCGTGTTCACGTGTGACAGCTCACCTCTCTGGCTGCACTGACAGCCTCTAGTGTGCCTTGGTGGCTATATTTTTTCCTCCCAGTAGCTGTGTTTAAAAATACCTTATATTGCAACTAGATGTAAGTTACCTGAAATTACTAAAGGAGAATTTGACATGATTTACATGTTTTCTAAATCTGATCTTTCTCTTTGTATGTTTGCTGTTTCTATAGTGTGTGTTTTTCTTTTTATTTATTTTTTCTGTCCATAGCCTAAAACATCTAAATCAGCAAACCCAAAGTCAAAAGAGAGTGATGAACCTCACCGTTCAAAGAACAACAGACCCGCACGGTAAGCTGCCACCTGAAAAGCAGAGTGAGGAGCTTGACTCTGGGGTGCGTGAGGAGATTCTGTTGCCTGGGGAGAGTGTTTATTTTCTGAAAAAGAGACATAGAAAGAATCGTGCAGTTCTGAGGTAGTATCAAGTCTGGAAAGTTTATTCTGAAACAAGTCTGGAAAGTTTATTCTGAAACTTTGTTTCCAGTCTTAAATTAGGGTGCACAAGTCAAATCAGGACAATGTGCGGGATTTTACAGAAGCTGGGTTAATAGAGAAGGCTGTGCTTTTTGTTAGGACGAGTCCTCGCCTCTGGATTCATTGATGCCCTAAACTAGGAAGGGACGAGATGAACCATTTTCCTAAGTAAAATGTTAAATTTTTCTTAAATTGCTAAGTTGTAAATTTCTGCTGGGTTTCATGGGCACGCTTGTGTGTGCCTGGCCTTCGGCATGCTCATGTTCGTTTGGTGCTGGGTTGCAATGTCTTGGGCAAATACTTCCTTGAGCCACTGCATACCAGCCAAGTCCCACGGGATCAGACTGCTGTGGCTATGGTATATGCCCCTGTGGCTTCTCTCAGGCAGCCTGGAGTCACAGAGCAGTTACTGTCTTTCCACCTCAGGTTGCCAACGTTTAAGTCTCTAGGGAAGCAACCTTTTTTTTTTTTCCAATTGCTTTCTGTTGCCTTTCAAAAGAAAATACAATTGGAATAGGAGAGAAGACACTAAATAGAAAAAGAGAAAAGTAACGTTAAGTTTAACAATTTGAAAACCGCATTATTAAAGCCTTGAATTTCAGTCCTGATTATTAATATTAATTCTTAGAATGGAAATTTTTGATTTCAAATAATACACCCTGTTGTGGCTACTGATTGTCCATACTTAAGCTACTAGACTTGTTTCCTTAATATGAATATATTTAGCGTCCTTAAAAACTCATCCTCTGTTAAAGTTACGGGGTTTCAGAAGGCAGAGAAGTACCCTTCAGAAAATTACATCATGTTAGATTGCTCTGCAGACAACAGTATAGTGTCTCTAGTTATGTAAAATTTATTCCTCTTGTGGTCGTTTGTTAAGCACATGCCACATTTTTAAAGCAGAATTTAGAACTCCATAGTTTAATTTACGTTCGTACAGTATCCAGATAAAATAAGAAGCAACTAATCTGTTCTCAGTAGTTAAATAAGTGGGTTATTGTGCTTTTGTTAGTAAGTGAATTCAAATAATTTTTAGGGTTATTTTGTAATCTTAAAAGTTCTTGGGCTCTTTAGACCGCTAATAACTTTGACAGCAGATATTATAGAACAGTCGAGGATGGCTATTTAAAAAGATTCTTGAAGAAAACAAATCTCTGGAACGTCATAGGTGCTGTAAAACATCTGGCATATTGAAAGAAGAATAATAAACCCATCCTATATTAAAAGTGGCTGCTATAAATGAGATAGTAAAATGTGACTGACTTACGGCTGGTTGAACTGGTCTTTTTTGGCTTGAGAGGAATGCTTGTCTTTAAACAGTATTTACAGAGAAATTGTATATATGATAAAAGTGAATACAATTTCTGTGACCCATGTTCATAGTTAAACATTAAAGCCTATGAACTTACAGATATCCTGTATAACTAATATAAATCAGCAGATAATGCTTTCTGGTTAGAGTCTATGATTTCCCTTTTCACACTTAACCATGGTCTGGAAGTTTTGTTAGCCGTCTGCAGAGGGAATGTTTTAAGGATTGAGAAACTTGGTGATCAGGATGTGTTAGGTCAGGATGTTGGGTCAGTTTACTTCAGTGTAGTAGAGGGGAAACAAATTCTCACGTAGAGCTTAGACCATTCGTAGTCAAAAATCCAATTTCTTAATGTATTATAGTATTTCCACCTCCTGAGGAAACAGAGAACTCGTTTGCAATCTGAATTAATTCTAAACATTTGCAACTGGAAAACGTTTCAGCCTGTGTTCCAAATTCTTTTACCTACAGGATTATATATACTGGTATTATATATGTGTACTACTTGATATTTTACTTTCATTTTTCATTTAGAAAGATGTTACAAATCTCGTTTAGTTCCTACAGCAGTCTTAAATGAGTATGAAATGCAGTTATCTCCGCTTACTCTTTCATCACATATTTATTGAGCACCCTAATAAGTACGCAGAATTGGGATCAACAGCAGTCAGCAAGAAAGAACTGCTCCCTGCTCTGATAAAGTTTACAATCTAAACAAATAATTATACAGATAACTATAATGATCGTGTTAAGTGCTGTAGATGAAAAGTACAGGGTGCCGGAAGAACATAAGTTGGCGCTTAACCTAGTCTGGGTGTCTTGGGAAGGCCTTTTAAACAAGTGACTTTCTAATTGAATTCTGAAGGGTATTTGGCTATGTCATCAACATAAAGATGTATTTCATTTCACGAGGGCAGTAAGAATCAAGTAATTCTAATACATTAAAACTATTAACTAATGGTCAACAAGATTTTTTCATCTTTGGATATAAATACCCTTATTTCGAAACAAACGTCGTCACTGCAACAGAATAATTTGGTAGGACCTGTAGAAGCAGTTAAGCCAAGATTTGTTCTCTACATTAACCAGAAACTACACAGAATAGCACACCAAGAGAACTGAGGGTGTTCTAGGTTGATTTGTTTATCCTTACATGGAGATCCTAGAGAGTTCGCTGGCGTCCTGTGTTCTGTTTCACACCTTGGACATCCTTTACCTTAATGATGAGTTGGTGGGGAAACAATAATCATGGATTTTTTTGAGTCCCACTCAGCTTTTGTCTTTCTAGGTTTTGATGCATTAGGATTACCTGATTCTTACTGTACTCGTGAAATGAAATGATACCATCTTTATGTTGATAATATCGCCAAATACTCTTCAGAATTCAGTTAGAAAGTCACTTCTTCCAAAAGCCCTCCCCAAACACACCGATTAGGCTAAGTTAATGCTACTTAATGCTGTTACAAGAGCTTTTGTCTTTCTGTGTTTTGATCGCCTGATGAAGCCAACGAAAGAGTATGGAATAGACTCTACTACCCTGATTATCAGCCGTTTCCTTGGCCTAAGTCACTTCTTCAGCCACCTGTTTGGTTAAGGCTAAGTTTCTTAATTATGGAATCAGGTTATTTTGTTTACAACTCTTCCTACCAGTCTTTGTTACTTTTTAAAGTAAAAGTGAAAAATGCCAGTTAATAACTAAAAAAAACCACTACATTTATTTAATTTCTAATAATTTGTAGCAAATGTTCAAAGAAGAAAACAGGAAAAATTCCACACTATTTGTTATGCTCAGGTTAATAATGTCTGTATAATGAATACATGAAAATATAAAAATACATGCCCAGATACCATTTGGAAGTAGTAGCATATATAATGTATATGTGTAAATGTGTGTGTATATGTATATATCTATACATCTATACGTATATGTACATCTATACGTATATGTATATATGTATGTATATCTGTATATATCTGTACATATTGTGTACAGATGAATATACATATACGTACATATATATATATATAGAGAGAGAGAAGGTAGAGATGCTGCTGCTGATAGAAATACCTCTGCAGCAGAGCATAGTATAGTAGTAAAGAGCGTTGGATTTGCTGTCCAGTGGAGTTTGAGCTCTGGCTCTGTCACTTAGCAACTGTGTGAACTTGGACAGATCACTTACCTCATATAGCCTAACCTAACCCTAAGATAAGTTTATGATAGCAGCCATGCAGACCTGTCTTGAAAGTTAACCAAGATAATGTGTGTAGAACCCATAGCACAGTCCCTAAGATCTATATATGTTTACATCCTGTGCTGACCTCTTCTAGATGCTGAATACCCAGGGAGGGACTTCATTATTTGGGGGCAAACAAAAGATTGAGAAATTTGAGAGCACTTGCCTTTGTTCTTTTATGACAGAGCCCATTGTGCCAAGTTAACCATAACTTTCCAGACCTCAGAATGCTTAGGCCTTCTAGATTGTATATGTAATTACACTGAGTATTCTACCACAAGCTTATGTACTTCACAAACAAAAAGTTTGGAGTAGTAAAATTTTTCCACTGTTTTTTGCATTTCTGTGTGATTTTTACATGAAAAATTGCACATATATAACTGCTCTTCCCATCTCTAAAGATCTGCTTTGCCACCTAGTGGATAAAGAACTCTGCTCAGAAAATGTACATGTTGACCCAAGTCCCTCTCCCCTTGCCTCCCTCATTCCTGCCCTTCCTTCATTCCCTTGTTTTTGTTACATTCTCCCCTTCTTTCCTTTCTTCCTTTCTTCCTCTTCTTTTTTTTTTTTTGGTAAAACCTACCAAAACAAAGCAAATTTCTTACTGATTTCATTAAACTACTTCTCCAGCCATTGGCACAATGCCTGATGCATATTAGGTGTTCAGAAAAAAATTTTTTTTACTGAATTACATACATCAAAACAGAGGACCAACAAGATAAAATAATTTATCAAAGGGCATGCAACTAGCTAGGAACAAATTCTGAAGCATCCTGGCTCTGCATTTCTACAGAAAATGTTTTTACCACGTGTTCCCGTGAGAGATGAAGGTGTAGTCCCCGTTTCTGAGCATTTCTCTTTACATCCTGGCTTTCCTTCAGGCCTCCACCCCCTGCCGGGACAGATGCTAAGGATTTGGATTACCCACATTTTACAAACCAGCGTAATTCCACACGTCATTTCTCAAAATGGGAATCCTCTCATAAAGGTAAGAAGAGCATATATAGTCACATTTCAGGGTCTTCGTAATCTTCATGTGGTGGTGAAAAAAGATCAGATGCTGTCCTGTAAATCACCGGAGTGGAAGCCTGTCAGCAGATCCTTATATATTAAAAAAAAAAAAAAAATCCAAAAAACAAAACAAAATAAAGCAAAACAAAACCCTTTAAACTGAATGCAAGATTGTCCATGTATTTGCTTTATACTCTGGAGGAAGTTCACAGATTTCATCAGATTCTTACAGGGAGCCTGTGACATACACCCCTACCCCCACTCCCACAAAATATTTGCAACCACTGGCCACTTTTTGTATGCTGCTGGCTCTTGTTTCCCATCTGCTCATGACCCTGTTAATTAGACTAAAACACACACACGCACACGCACACACACACTACATAAAACTTTTATACAAAATAAGCATGGGGCAAGGAAAATAGGAGATCTGATTGGGTCAGATCTTTAACATGGAAGGAATAATCGGTCAGTCGGTCAGTGGTTGCTCTTCCAAGGATAGGCATTCACTAGGTATATGTTTGTGACGGTCATAAAATGAGAAATGAAAAGGCAGCTTCTTATAGTAATTTCACAATTAAAAAATGGAGAGGATGCAAATAAAAGTATCAGGGTTGTTAGGATTAAATAAAATATGGGAAAGGGGTTTACAGATTGCAATGGACTTTACAAATATTAGGTTTTATTAATTGATGAAGGTTACTTGTTGTAGATTTTGAAGATTCCTTGGGTGACATGTTTTATAATCCTTTTACAGAGCTAATGATAGCCTTCCCAAACTTCTTTAAATTTCCTTTTCTGCTGTTTTAAAAATGTTTTAATGCACAGGTGTCACCCTAAACCAGTCACATCAGACTCTTTGGGTGGGTGGTGCCAGGCATGAGTATTTTTTAAAAAGCTCCCCTCCCTCCCTCATGTCCTTCCTCCCAGGATTCTAAAGTTCACCAACAGCCATTATTTAAAATGTGAGATTAATTGAACGCTACAAATGGTTTTGTCAAAACAACCCACCCATCACAATTCCCATCTGTTGATAGCATTTTCCTCATCTTGATTTAACTGGAAGTAGCTCGTGTTTTACTTTCTCAACTCTGCATGCATCACTTTGTGGTAGGTGCCTTCCTGTCCTTGACATACATTTGATACATAATATTATTAAAATAAAACATTGATTCTGTATATAAATATTTTACAGTCAAGAACAAAGATATCAGCAACCACTTGAAAAGCGTGGAAATAAAGATAAATTACTTAGCCTGAGCAGGGAGAAAAACTGTCTGAGAAACTTTCAAAGATTTTACCTTAATTGTGTTTTCTTGCTTTTTTTCCTTCCCTCCCCAGGTTTCCATTACAAGCATTAAAAACCTAGGATTCTGCCTTGAAACGGACTCACTATAGCCCATATTACTGGATGATACAGAATGCATTCTACATTTATTTTTTCCTCATATATTTGCATTCCTGGGATTTATCCTCAAGTGTTTTTCTGACCATAAATACTTTAATTCATTTCAAATGTTTTGGTTATTCCTGATCACTTGGGCAGTACAAGAAAATCTAGCTTCTGAATATTGGCCACCTCTGTGCTTCATATGCTTCCTGGGATATAGTATCTAAGAGCTCTATAAAATGCCATTTTGTTAGGGTTGGAGTGTTGGTATTTAGGGACTAGGCTTTATACAGCAGTTAGAATTTTATGAAGATGAATGATCAAAATAAAGTATAATGTTCGGATGCTATGCAGAATAAAGAATAAAAGAAATATTTTTTTTTTCTGGTGCATTAGTGTACGTATTGAAGGACAGAGCCTTTTGGTTTTTGTACGCTTCAGGAAAAGGAAAAAAATCACAACCATAAAGTATTAAAAAAACAAAAGACACATGGAACAGTTGAAGTGTGTTATTCTGACTACATGGACTGCAGAGGTTTTGCAGATCCTTCTAAGTCCTCCCAGGAAAACTGGCCTAGAGATCATTCTCTGCTGTTTCTTCCTGAATAGCAGGCTTTCTGATGCCTCTGGGCATCGGGCCATTTATTAGTATTATATTGCCAAAAATTTAACTCTGGAGTTTTAACTCATGTCTGTGTGCAGAGTCAACTGAAAATGAAAAACGTTTTATGCCTTCTCTTGTTTTATGCTTACTTGCAGAGTAAGGGAAGTGGAATTGGAAGATGGTTGTATAAGTGATGATGGCGTCATTCTCACTGGGCACAGGCTGACGTTTTCTTCTTGCTTAAAAGAGATACCGTATTTGTTGGCCACCTTTCAATAATGTTTTGCTCACCTGTCAATAATTAGATTAATTCAGCATGAAGTTAAAGTTGATAAAGTGGTTCTTCATCCAAGTGTTTGGTTCTGTAAATTGGTTAATAGTAAATGGGGATTAGATTTCTTTGTACAAGACCTTTAAGACTGCTCTTTTATAAGAAATTCAGGGTCTTTGTTTAGTTGCTAACCTCATGGAAACACTTATTTTCCCATACTAATTTAACATAAATGGCAGTCAAGCTATGACATAAAATATATCCTTTCAGCTTGATTTGCCTTCAGTTTTCATTGTATAAATCTGACATTTTTGGCATTTCAGTATGGTGTTCATTTAGGAAAGAATCAGGTGACTAGAGAAAATCCATTCTTTTCCTATTGGGAAGCTATTTTGTTTCTCTGAGTATATTTGGACCTCTCATTTTTGAGAAAGATCTTTAGTTTCATCGTTTTTTTGAATCCTATAAACTTGAGTGAAAGTCATCTGAGAGTTAAATTTTGGGGACATGCTAATCTAGAAACAAGACTCTAAAAATAATAGGACTTTGAAAGGCTACGGTGAAATTGATGAAGAAAAATCTGTATCTAAGTTGAGAAGGGGAGACAAATGGAGGATGGAGGCCACAGCCTTAAGTCAAATCCCAGAGGGTGGTTTCAGTACCCAAAGCTTAGGCCATGTTGACTTACAGTAATGCTGTATTTTTCTTGGTCTGCCCTGTGATTTTGCTTCGTGTTTTTAACAGTTTTTATGGTAGTTGTAAAAAAAAAAAATGCAGTGTATTTTTATTTGATAATTAGGCAAATGGACATCATTTGCAATATTTTTATTTTATAAATGTTTATTTTTCTATCTTATAGGATGATCAGTTTTACTTAAAAAATTCTGCATTCCTCTTGCCTGTCATGTGCTTTGTCCTATCGTATTTATTATTGTAAAATGTTAGCTAGAGATACTTTATTCCAGAATCGTCCGGCCATTCAGTACTTAAACCAGGAAAAAAAAAAAAGAAAACAAACCCAAGCCCATTCCCATCGAATCAATTCCAACTCATAATGATCCTGTAGGACAGAGTAGAACTGCCCTGTAGGGTTTCCAAGGAGCTCTTGGTGGATTCGAACTGCCGACCTTTTGGTTTGCAGCCGAACTCTTTAACCACTGCACCACCAGGGTTTCCCACTTACCAGAAAGAAAGGAGTGTTTTGGCTGTCTTGGTGAGTTTCTGATCAAAGGTGGTATTTCCCTCGTGGCATCCAATTCAACGTTTGTGTTGAACATTTGTTGACTTTTTTAAAAGGATCTTAAAAGAAAAGTTTTTAATTTTTTTTTGTAAAGCAGGTACTTTTTTAAGAGTATCAGAGCAATCTTTTCCCTGCAAATAAGGAGATAAAAATCAAACTCAGCCAATTAAATCTTCTTCTGTCTCATTCCTATAATGGAGTCATTATCTTCGAGGCTGTGGAAGTAACTAACAATTGTATTTTAATGAACTGCTGAGCGCTCTTCACTGTTTTGTTTGCTTTTTAGTTTGTCCTGTTTATGTAAATGTCAGGGTGTTTGCTTGGTTGCTGTTCTGCTGGAACACCGTGGTTTTTTTTTTAGGACCACGGTATTTTACGCTTTCTTGTGATGTAAACCAGCGTGCCTGGCCTCTGAAATAATTTCCGTTTCTACACCTCTTTTCTGTGGAGGCCAGGCCACATTAACACCTTATATTCCTGAATGAGCACAATGTACTATATTGCCTTAAGGTAAGGCTTCTTGACCTGTACACCCTCCCTTCTCCTCCTTCTAACTTTTGTAAGTTATTGCCTGGAAGGAAGGTTAGATAAGGTCTGATGAAATGTTCTGACTTAAAAAAAAAAAAAAAAAAAAAAAGACTTTAATGTTCAAACCACTGTTAAACATTATTTTATTGAGTGGCTAGACAGTTGCTACACATGCTTCAAAAGAACATTGAGATGTTTAGAAAATAACTTTGCATAACATTGAATTATAACCAGCAGCATGCTAATGAACTGCCAAAAAAAAAAAAAAACCTATATGGTTTTTGATCGTAAAAGAAGCATCTAAATTAGAAAATATGTACAGTCATATGTCGCTTAACGTCCAGGATACATTCTGTGAAATAGGACGTTATATGATTTGGGCATTGTGTGAATATCATATTATATACAGGCAGTCCCCGGTCCAACTTACGTACAACCTGTAGTTAGGAACCAACCCTGTAAAGCCTATTGTACTAAAAATGCAGGATACATACAGTGGTTCCTAATAACAAACGGGTGCTACTTTGCAAAGCACATTAAAACATTATTAGTACTGTATTATTATGTTAAAGATGCTTTAGTGTATCTATGTCGCGTTCCCCCATCGGGATTTTTGAACTTACAGGACCACAGACGTATATGCAGTTGGGCATTGCCCAGATGGACGTTACGCAGCGCATGACTGTACGTATATGAATAGATGTTTCCAGGAGGAAAATCTTTCTCAGAATGGCAGCAGCCACTTGGATTTAGATGAACATACTCCAAAACGTCTGACCTTGGGCCTTGTATTCCGCTGAACTCACTCTAGAAAATTCTAACTGCAATCAATTTCCCCTTTTTCTTCCCTGCTGTGGCCTGCCGCTGAGCTGCGTCATGAGTAAATTCATTGCAGACAGTTGTCCACCCCTTCCCCTCAGTGTAAGGGTAACTTAATGTAAAATAATTGGTTTTTAACTGAGAATTATTTTTCCTTAATTCTGTCAGAATCTTCTCTAAATTTTGTCATGTGTCAAATTGTTCTTTAGAAATGCCTGCTATAATATGGTGCGTTCAGTTTACCACATAAGTGGCTGACTTTTTAGGGCCTTGATATTTAATGAGTATTGCCTTTATATACACATCTCTTTGGGAAATGTCAAGATTATTCATTTATTCAATGATGCTTTTCTTGAAAGATGTCTGTGGTGATTTTGCTGTAAGATCTTGAGCCTCATCATAGGGTGAGAACCCTGTGTAAACAACTTTCTCAAGGACAGAGAACTGAGTTTTTTCCCCCTTTTGGGAAAACAGTACTTGTGTAGGGAATATTAATATTGAGAAGGAACAATCTTCCCGATAGATTTCACTGTACATACTGTGCCATATTCTGATAACCTAGGCTTTCTAGAAATAATCATAAAAAATGAAAACCTGATGTTCTAGCAGAAAGAAAAAAAAAATTGTCAAGTACTTTGTTCCTGACTTACTGCTCATAGTCAGAAAAGTGACCGCATAAAATGGTCCCAGTTTCTCCTTATATCTGGTGGTGCCTGTGAGTCTTAAGCCATATCTGCTTATGTTACTACTGATCTTTTTTTCCTCTGAGCCCAAAATAGGCAATATGGGCAAGGAGAAGCAAACTGGAGACTGTCCTGATAATGCTGCATGGGACACAATGTCATCTGAATTCTTGGTAGAGGAACCTCTTATCCATGATATAAAAGACTGAAAGGTTGCTCCTGGCATTTAATAACTGTCATTAGAAATGCTGAAATTTAGTTCTAGAGAAGTCAAGAAGGAAAGGGTAAACTGGGAAAGTCTCACATCTCAGAGTCCCTTTTTTGCGAGCCCTGCGCTTTGTTAGCAGTGTCTTTGAGGAGCAGTATTGCCTTAAATTAGTTGGCCTCCAACCAAGGGCAGTGTACTGTACTTTCTATATGTGAATGCCAGCCAACTCTCCACTGAGACATGAAATTCACACATCATCCCTAAGCATCCTTGTCATCAGGAGCTTTGGGTCTCCTTTCCCACTGAGTGATGAATAACCTATAACATTGATAGATGTAGTATTTCCAGTTGCCTGATCAACCCATAAAAGGAGCCCTGGTGGCACAGTGGTTAAGTACTCAGCTGCTAGCCAGAAGGTTGGCAGTTTGATCCCACCAGCCACTTCATGGGAGAAAGATGTGGCAGTCTGCTTCTGTGAAGATTTACAGCCTTGGAAAGCCTGTGTGGGCAGTTCTGCTCTTCTGTAGGATTGCTGTGAGTCGGAATTGACCTGATGGCATTGGGTTTGGTTTTTTTGGTTTTTGGATCAGCCCACAAAGTAAGCAGTGGCATGACTAAAAAGGCCGGTAGAAGGAAAGGGAGAATTTCCTTCACACTAGGTGATCATTTTCTGAATCGTTGAGAGTAAACTGTCCCCCTTTTCTATGGTGACTGTAGAAGATATTTCCAGAGTTTGTGTTGTGCAGTGAAGACACTCAGAGTCATTGGTTTGTAAATTTCTCCAACACCCTTGTGTACTGAAATGCTTAATATTAACAAAAAGAAAAAGAAAACCAAACAAAATAGATATTTACTTGAAATGGAATAATTGTTGATGTGAAGAGTGTTTCTATTTTATCACTTTTGCTTTGGGTAGGGAAGACACCACACTGGTTTCTTAAGGTTCTATTTGGTGCCGCGTTCTAATGCAATCTATGTTAGCAGTCAAGTTGATTTGTGGAAATATCTGTCCCTAAAAACCACTCTTCCTTATATATGTGTCAACACTGCCTAGTTCCATGTTCCTAATAGATTTAATGTGCTTTTGTGTATTCACTTAGCAAACTAGAAGATGTTTTTATCTTTTTGAGTAACTCTTCATAGCACAGGGAGCCAAGCAGTATGCTGGTTTCAGCATTTCAGATAAGGGCAAAATTAATTGTATAACTTAGTGCCCCCTTATTCATTTCTGAGGTTCATATATAAAATATAGAAGAGTTGAAAGACAGGGTTTGAATGGCATTCCCTTCATAAAAGAGCAAGTATTATGAACAGCAAAAAGAAGACCACTGAGAGAGAGTGAATCTGCTATGACACATCTTGTGCTTAGGATAGGTTTTTGTTGCACTGAATTTCAGACCATAATTAGTAAAGTAGTTCCTACTTGTTAAATTTGGTGAGAGGGTGTTTTGATGTCAGGATTTTTGTATTTATGATTGAATTAGCCTCTGAAAACCCTAGGCTATAACTTCAGCTCTTGTTGTTAACTGAAAGCCAAATGCCTGTTCTCAGAAATAGCTATGTTTTTCACTTGCCTCCCAAAGGTGACCCAATATTCATTTCATAAAGTAGTAAATAATGAGGAGCCCTGGTGGTGCAAGGTTAAGCACTTGGCTGCTGGCCTAAAGGTTGGTGGTTCAAACTCACCCACGGGAGAAAGACCTGGTGCCATAAAGATTATAGCCTAGGAAACCCTGTAGGCAATTTTACTCTGTCACACGGGTCACTGTGTGTCAGAACCACTTCGACAGCACCTAACAACAACGTGGTGTGAATATAGCATTTAAAATGATGTTCCAAATTGAGAATTTCCTTAGTAAGGTTTCTCCTAAAAGGAATTCATCCCAGCACAGTGTTAGATTTTGAAAAGGTGCTGAATTAAAAAATATAAGAGTATGTTCATGTCAATCCAGTTGCTCAGGAAATTTGAGGTGGTGCTCTCATTTGTCTTATAATTTGAGAAGTGCTCTCGAGATTCTGCACAGTGCTCAGGCACTTTCAGAGTCTTTCATAAGAGTCATTTGACATTTGGAATGCGGATGTGTTTTAAAAACTGGTGAGATGTTATCCCAAGTGCTCATCAATTTATAGCCAAGTGGGAAAGGCAGCTTTGAAATAGCGACTTCATGGGATTGAATAGAACCTTGATGGGATGAATTTGCCTGTCTGAGGACAGAAAGCAAAGAGGCTGCCTCAGACCTCATGCCTATCTAGAGATTAAACGAAGCTGTGAGGGACATGTTGTGGATGCCTTACAGGTGACCAGTGTTGGGTACTGGTGGGTCTGGATGCACCCATCTGGACTAGGCTGATGGGAACAGTCTGTTCAATTTGCCTTCACACAGTACAGGTTGTTCCTGCTCATGACCTCACTGAGGAAAATGAGAAATGTGCTGGTGACTTTCTTGCAACTTGGGAACCTGAGGTGGACAACATCCTTAGGCACCCTCCCTCAGTGCTCAAGCTGCCCTTAAATACCAATTACACATCTACATTAATTCATCTATGCAAGCTTGTGTTTTATTTTGTTTTTTTACACCTTATGCCTCATTCGGTTCTTTAAACATCAGGTTTAACACTGACAGTATGAATAATTTTTAAACCAAAGTATTGTGTAGATCTGTTTGCTTTGTTTTTCTGGATGGTTTGAGGCAAACACCAATCTTGTCCACCTCTCCTAATAAAGTCATGCATTTGTTAAGTCATTGGTCTCTGTCTCATGTTTTCTTTACTGCTTTCAAGGACTTGAAGAATTACTGAGTATTATTTTTGTTTGCTTTTTTTTCCCTTCTTTACAAATTAAGCCTAATATGTCTTTGTTTAATAACAGTAAAATCTTCTCTTGTTTCACTTCCATCCACTTTCTGTAAATGTGTATAAGGTGATACTGATGCCTAGTACTTTGAAATTCTCGACAAAGACTCCCATGTTTAAATCGGTTAGAGAAGTTGCTTAGATTCGTGTGTGGTGGTTGGTGTCTTGGTTGCTGTATTTGGGAGAAGAACAGGTCAATGGGTATTCACACAGTAATTCTGATGATTGTAGACTCCATGAGTGCCACAACCCAGTCTGTAGTATATACCTGACACCTTGTAGACAAATGTATTTTGAAGAAATGGATGTAAATAATAACCACCATTTATTTAACATTTTACCTTTATAAGATTTGTACCTTTATCTTATTTTGTTTTTGGGTTTATTTTGCTTTTTTTCTAGGTGCTTAAGATGAGAGCTTAGATGATTGCTTTAAGACTTTTCCACTTTTGCGTTATAAGCATTTAGTGCACTATATTTTCCTCTCAGCAGTTCTTGAGCTGTGCCCCCCAAATTTTGATATGTTGTATCTTTATTTTCATTCATTTCTTTTTTCTTTTGTTTTACTCAAGACTTCCTCTTTGACCAATAGATTATTTAGAAGTATGTTGTTTAGTTTCCTGACATCTTTCTATGACTGATTTCTAGACTGATTTCATTGTGGTCAGTGAACACACTCTACATTATTTCAATTCTGTTAAATTTTGAGGTTTCTTTTATGG